CCATATCATGTTGTAAAGAACATGAAAATGTATGCCATTTTCTTCCCTAGAGCACAACACATGCTCTGTAATGGGAAATCTAGGATGGCCAGACGAGAAGAAGTTGATCTGTGCTGTAGCAAGTTCTGAAACAAAACACAGAATCAGCTTTCACAACCTCAACTTAGTTGCTTGTTTTATCAATTTTCTTTTAATTTTGACCCAGATATTGAGGGAAAATTGAGATGAGGTCCCCAGAACCCAGCCAGGAGAAGCCGGGGTTTCCCTTTCTGGCACTAGTGAGGTGAGCCGATATGGTCACAGCATTGGTGGGTCAGCATCTCCTCCATGATGGATATTGTTTGGAGCAAGATAGGACATGCAGGTGATGTCTTAGTTATTTTTTCATTGCTAAGGCAAAATAGCCAACTCCAAAGTTAAAGGAGGAAATATTTATTTCAGATCACAGTTTATAGTGGTTTCAGTTCATAGTCTGATGGTTCCAAAGCAGGGTAGCCAGGCAGAGGGACATCACAAAGGAGAAACAGTCCCTGGCATGGCAGAACAGGCAGAATGCAGCAAGCAGCAGCAGCAAACCTGCCTTCCCTCTCTCCCTTAGTACTCTTTACAAGCCTGTTGATGGGAGCCACCCATACTAACAGTGAGGCTTCCATTCTCCACATCCTTAATTACATCACACACTAAATCCATGTTCATAGCCTAATTCAGCCACCTTTGAAAGTCCCAGTTAAGGCTGAATGAGGATTTAGGAGAACATCTAGATATAAGTGGCAAGAACTATTTTCCCTTTCTCTGAACCCTTACTGCACCAAAATGTACTCCTTGGTAAGAAGAAAGAGATATTTATTTCCCTAATCTCTCTTTAAAATCTAAAGAAAAAAAAAGAAAAATAAATAAATAAATAAATAAATAAAATCTAAAGAAAATAAAAATGTTTCTTGTAAAATTTTGAAATGTGTTAATTTAACTTGGGCTATAGCAACTGTACTTAAAATTTACATATACAGAATTTATTTATATTATGGTGATCGTTGAGTAATGTGGGTTTTTGTCCGTTTTTAAGGATATATAATACCCAATGAATGACTTTACTCTTGTTAAATTTCCCTCACCAGATGTGGCTTACGCCATACCAGAAATGCTAAAAATTGGGACAAAGGAACTGAATTTCATGTAAACAAAACAATAAATTCCTACTAGGCTAAGGGCACGCACTGTGGAAGTGACAGGCACATATGTTTGTGTGTGTGTGTCTATGTGCGTGTGCACATGTGCAGTGGGATGAGAAGTGGGGAGAGATGGCATGGGAACCAGCCCAGAGTGTGGGTGCTGGAGGGTTCTGGGGTTCATGGGTGTTGGAGTGGGAGTAGCTTTCTTGTCTACTCTTACTCTTTTGGATGACCTAAGAAAGAGCAATTGTTCTCATTTCTGACTTTTTAGGCAGAAAATGTGACCTGGTTGCCTGATGTCCTCATGAGAGTTGTCAGGGAATCAAAAGCCCAGAGCATATAGGTGGAAGAAAGTGGTCTTCCATGGTGCTCCAGCCTGAGGACAACTCCCCACTTCCTTTTACCTCTCTTCATCAAAAATAGTTGGAATTGGACATCCCTGGTTTCCCAAAGGAACATTTGCCCACTGGGTTCCTTCATAACCCTGCAGTCTGGGGGGCAATGTAATTCAACTCAAATTTCTCCTTTTTAGCTCTTCTTCAAGCAAGGATTTCAAAGCTGTCAAGTTGGCTGCTAAAGGTAACTATTTGACAAATGACATAGATCTCAAAGAGGAGATTTGTCTCCATCTCACCTTCTTACCCTCTGTGAGCAGCAGCTGACTGTGGACTATGGGGACACACAAGTCACCATTCTGGGAGAAGACCAGCTATGGTGGTGACCCTGGCATTGGAATTCATTTCAGAACTGACCCTCCAGGGTAGCTTTCTCCATCTTCACTTCCCAGGTAGAGTGCACACCTTTAATATGCCCCAAGATGTTCTTTATAGCAGTGTCTGACAGATGATGGCACTGCACCATGACTTGCAGCTGTTTCCTCTTATTGACTGCATTTGCAGTTCTGATCCTCCTGGCACATGAAAATCTTACTTCCTACCTGAACCAGAAGCTTTGATCGGGCTGATACTGCAATGGAACTGAGAATCAAGATCTTGTCCACACAGATGGGTGGTCAACACATATTGGTTCAATAGGTATTTTGGGGCCAGGGAGATGGCTCAGTGGAATAAGCACTTCCCTGGCAAGCACAAGAGCCTGAGTTCAATCCTTGGTCTTGCCAAAAAAAAAAAAAAATGTTTTTAATTAAAAGCTGAAGCATATATGAGGGGTGTGTTCAGAGAATTAAAGTAAGGTACAGATAGGTTCACTCTCTATAATTAGCTTTTTAAACCTGCAAGTACTTTTTTTTTAATGGTAAGCCCAATATTGTCACAGGGCTGGGAAACAGCTGTGCTTCCCCATTGCCAGTGCCAGCTCAAATTGTTATGGGCTTCTGAACAACAGTACCTGAAAGCACTGCCTCTGCTAACGATTTATCCTAAAGATGTAGTCAGTAACACGGATAAAGATATATCATACAGATATTTTTATAACACTATTCTAAAATTTATTTATTTATTTATCTATGTGTGTGTGTGTGTGTGTGTGTGTGTGTGTG